TACAGATGCTGTTAGGTCTTACATTCCAGTGTAATGAAATGCACTTTTTAATAAATACTTGGTGTTATAATGAAAGTCATCTTGTAAAAGTTGAAATTCTATAATAAAAGGATCGCTAATTTCTAGCTCTTGTTTTGATACATTTAATAAACTAGTCTGAATTTCCTTGTGTTAGATTTAATGTATAGATTTAAATTTACCTTTAAGGTAGCAGTGCCAGTCAGACATTAATTCAACGTATTTGCTGATACAGCGATAAAAGAAATCACCTAGAACATTTTTCCTTCCTTCTATTAACTCCTTTGCCTTGGATTACAGAGATGGCAAATAAAGGAAAATGTTAAGCCAGGTGGTATTTGATATTGGTTAGGATCAGGTTGAAAGTTGAAGTCCTAGTTACTTTAAGAAATCAGATGAATGAGCACTGGTGCTTTATATAGCACTTGATTATATAGAATGGCCACATTTAATTCAGCAGCTTCTCTCAAAAATTCTTTGAGATACGGGCAATAAAGTCTGACCCTGGTGACAGGAGCATGATTCATATCCAGGTCTGTGACAGGTCAGGTCTTCCGACCCTCAGGTCCTGCTGCAACTTGTCTTATCTCAGTCAGGTGAGTCTTCTACTGCTTAGACAAGAGTTTTATAAAGTTCTGTGAAGACAGTGTTTTAGCGCAGTGTTACTAATCACAAGTAAAATGTAAACTTATGATGTGCTGATTTGTTGTAATCAGTTGCATTTTTATATTCAATTTTGATTTTAAATCAGTTTTGAAGACCATGCCACCACCTCACTGGCATTATAGACGAGGCTCTGATATGGCAGGTTTTAGGATGTTATATATTTTGAGTAGCTCTTCCTCCAAACTAGACTAGATCTCAGCTCTTTAACTACTCAACTTCAAATAAACCCAACCCCCTCCTATTCTTTCCACTTCCAGAATTATTTTGGCAGTTTAGATTATTTCATAGGGGTATTGTATTTGGCTTAAAACTCATTCCTAAATAATTTATTTTGCCTGCCCATGTAAATACAGTTCTAATTTCAAATTGTGGTTTGACTTAATCTCCCGTTTTTGTGGAGAAATACTCAGTATCTCTGATGGGAGGAAAATAGGGTGCCTAGAGAAAAAGAGAAGTCTGTGGGGACCTTTGAAGTCAGAATTTGACTTTTCCCCTCTCCTGGTTAATACCCTTCTAAACCCTACCCCCAGATTTGGAGGACTTTTTCCCCTTAGACTCAATTATCAGACTCAGACTATCCTTAAAATACAAGTTAAATTTGAAACAGCCCTGTGCATGCCTGCAAGGGTAGGCGGAGCTAGCGATTCTGTGTCACGTGCGCTCAGGACTAACTGTTCTGATAATGAGTTTAAGGAATTTTAATACAGTTATTTTAGGCCTGCCTTGCTGAACAGATTTTAATCAATATGCCAATATAAATGAACTTCCTTGAAGAAAATATTTTTGACTTAACCTTTTTAAAGACAGATGTCTTGCTGAATTTTTCATATGGTGGTGTTAAATTATTCTGATTTATTAAAATCATTTTTATCAGAATGAATTCTACTTTGTGAATTTTACTCTAAAAATGTTTATCATTCAGTTTTGTCTTTTTTTTTTTTTTTTTTTTTTTAATAAGGGACAGGATAAGCTAGTGGAGATACAGCTTGGTTATATTCCAGAGTACTGCTAACCAATAAAAATACAATGCAAGCCACAGCCACAAGTATAATTTAAAATTTCTTAGTGGTCATGTTTTAAAAAGTAAATAGATATGGATAAAATTAACTTCAATAATATATCCAGAATTTTATTATTTTGACATGTAATCTATGCCAAAAATCATTAATTTTAGAAGACAGTAGGTAAATGAAGGGATGTCTCAGAGAAAGGGAAGAGAGGGTAGTGTAAACTGGAGCTCTGTTTCCTGCTACCTTTTTGTAGTGTGGAGAGAAGTGCAGGAAGATGGGAAGAAAGGCCTTGCTCCTCCTTTATCTGACTTTTACTTTAACTCACGAGTGGGATGGTTAATTCAGAACATGAATTAGAGATGAAGTTACTTGTTATTCTTCTGAATAATTGAGAGTTCTATTTATATTCAGAATGTAGTACTAGAGAAGGCCCAAATAATACCCTTTGTTCGTACTACATATGTGTACATAAAGAATATAAAATGTCTCTTCCTGACTCAGCCTTTAATAAACATAATCTTGTTCCTTTTCTCTTATTCTTTAAAAAAAAATTTTTTTTTTAATGTCCAAGCTTAAATTCCACTGGAAAGACAGGAAAGGAAACATTTATAGTAGATTTTCCAAACACAAACCTTGCTTTTATAATATGGTTATGGCAACCATCTCTGTTTTGGTAAAGTTAGCCTATTAGATGAATTACACTTTGCAATTTAAATTTTCAAGATTTAGAGCAACCACAAGCTATTGCAACAGTTAAACTGGACATTTTGTGTACAATTTGGTATTTTAAATTAGGATTCTAGGCAACATAAAAGGCAGAATGCAAACAAAACAGATAGACCTGGCATGCTCCGTATGGCTCACAGAAAACTTTGAGGAAGTGACCAAGGAGCTGAAATATCAAGAGTGAGCGGGAATTGTTAATAGGCAACTGTTAGGAGATGGAAAAGAATTTTCCATGCAGAAGAAAGAACATTTGTAAGAGAAGTCTTGCATTGGGAATTGAAAGTCCAGGAACAAACCATACATTTATGGTCAGTTGATTTTCAATAGGGACAGTTGTTCAAGAACAGTTTTTCATTATATTGTGCTGAAACCCACTGGGTATCCAATGCAAAAGAACAGAATTGGATCCCTTCCTCACACCAACCACAAAAGTTGAAATGGATCATAGTCCTAAATTTTAGAGTTAAAACTGTAAAACTTCTGTGAGTAAGTTTTTGTGGTGTTGAGTTAGGCGGTGCTCTTAACTATTAAGAGCACCAGCAACCAGAGAAAAAATAAATTGGACTTTATCAAAATTCAGCACTTTTGTCCTTCAGTGGATACCACCAAAAAATTGTAAAAGGACAATCTACAGAATAGGAGAGAATATTTGCAAGTAATCTAGTAAGGGAACTGTATCCTGCTACTACTGGAGATGCAGCATGAACAGGTTTGTGGGAAAAGGTTGGAGTCCAGCATTGGGATCTGAGTATTCTTTGATCTGAAAACAGAGCTCCGCTGCACAGCATCTCCTCTCTGTTTTGTTCAGAATGAAATCTGTGATCTCACTGGAGATAACAAGCATCTCCTTCAGCTCACACTTCTGTTTCTGAAGTAACAGGTGTGAAGTCCACGGGTGTGGTTGAGCGTTCCTTGGTTCTTCATAAATTCATTGAATTTATGAACAAGAAATCTGTTGTGATTCTAGATTTTATCTTGAAGCTCCTCAAATTCCAACTATTTTTTTTTCCTAAAGATTGATTTATTTATACAAGCACTGGGTACAGTCAGAAGTGCGGGAGGGTGAGAGAATTCACCAGAGCCAGAGCGGGGAGCAGAACAGGCAGACTGACGAAATACACTGCTGAGGGGAGCAGCGGGCGGCAGGAGAGGTCTGCGCACCATGTGGGACCCTCGCTGGTAGCCAGGGATCAAACTGGCGCTGTAGAGGCTGCGGGCAGCTTCGCAGCCCAGCGCTCAACCACTGCGCCACCGGGGAGGCCCAAATTCCAACTATTTCATCATTATTTCACAGATTTTTGCTTCCTTTTCAATGAGTTTTAAAATAGTCGAAACAGGGCCTCCCTGGTGGCGCAGCGGTTGAGCGCTGGGTTGCGAAGCTGCCCATGGCCTCTGCAGTGCCGGTTCCATCCCCGGCTGCTCCCCGGCCACTGGAGGAGGGTCCCACATGGTGCGCAGACCTCTCCTGCCGCCCGCTGCTCCCCTCAGCAGTGTACTTCGGTCCTTCTGCCTGCTCTGCTCCCCGCTCTGGCTCTGGTGAATTCTCTCACCCTCCAGTGCTTCTGACTGTACCCAGTGCTTGCATAAATAAATAAATAGATAGATAGATAGATAGATAGATAGATAGATAGATAGATAGATAGATAGATAAATAGATAAATAAATAGATAAATAAATAAATAAATCTTTTAAAAAATATAAAATAAAATAGTCGAAACATATAATCATAAGTCATAATCTGTTGTTTTGACTGATATGTGAGAGCCAGTGATCTGAATTGCATTTGTAATTTATTCACTCAGAATACTTTGCCCTGTGAACTACATCCTGGCCATGGTCTTAGTTGTGTTAGACACTCTTAGTTCACAAAAATCAAAAACCAGCCAGGAAAATGGATAAAGGGAATGTAAATTGACTTTTTTGTTTCTTTCCATTAAAGAGTGGTTCTGGAAATAGTTCATGCAAGGATGCAGTGGTGAAAATCTCCCTCTTTTTTTTTTATTTTCAAAGATTTATTTATGCATACAAGAGCAGAGGTGCAGGCCAGAGGTGCAGGGGTGGGGTGTGTGTGAGAGGATTCACCAGGGACAAAGTGGGGAGCAGAATAGACGGATCTACTGAAGTACACTGCTGAGGGGAGCGGCAGGTGAGATAGGAGGGGCCTGTTGCGCCAAATGGGTCAGTTCCCTGGCCAGAGATTGTGCTGCAGAGGCTGCTGATAGCATCATAGTGCTGAGACTTAACCCCTTGCACCACCAGGAAGGCCTGGAAATCTCTTTTTTGCTATTGTCTCTGAAGAGGATGAAATTTCGGGGGGGAAATGTTAATTTTTGGGGGGTATTAAATTTCATGTTAAAGACTTGATTATTGTATTGGGGGCAAACCATGTGAATTAATTTCTGGCGTCTAGGTAATTTCTTATCAGAATGCCTACTTCCTTGAATTAAAAGAGAGATGAAAATAATTGAATATTCATAGTTAGCACAGGTGAATATTGTCAGACTTTACTGCGAAGATATCAGTCTCATTATATAGTAATTCACACTATTTTAATGACTCTTTATTCATGTTTCAAAACAGATGAGCTTCGACAAGAAATGCTGGATGATGTACAAAAGAAATTGATGAATTTAGTAAACAGTACAGAAGGAAAAGTGGACAAGTATGTTCTGTCTTTTCACTTACATGTATTTTATGGAGTTATTTTTATAGTAAAAAGCGCTTCTACCTGTAGATGTTTATATGTGTGTGCATATATATTTTTTTAATAGAGTAATGCAGCATTTTGTTCTGTCCATTAATGACTAATATTTGAGAACATTTAAAATATCAACAAAACTTAATTTAAGAGAAGCCCAACTTCTTTACATTTCATTGCTAAGTTCCTAATAAGAGTCAAAATAATTGTGGTCAAAAAATTACATCAAAATCTTATAACAATTGCTAGTGTTAGTCTACATGCATTTCAGTTTTTGGTATAAGAAAGTTCTTTGGCTGCAAGAAAGAGCATTTGTTTTACTTCACTAATAGGAATATCTCTTAGAGCTGGGATGGCCGCTCTTTGGTATTTCTTCTGTTGTTGATTTTTAACATAGTCATCTATCACTGTATGACTGGAGTTGAGTTGGAGAGGTACTCATCATGTTTACTGAAATAAAGTACATAACCCAGTTACTATAGTAATGAGGAGGTAGACGGCAAGGCAGCACTGCTCAGTATTTTTGAGGCCAAGAGGTTAAGCCTAAAGAATTTAGCCAAGATTCAGGAATAAAAGCCCATATGAGATATGAGTATGAAGCCAAATTGGGAATTTAAGAAAAGGACAAGACTATATAAATCACTGTTGCTGGCAGTGGCAATGGTGAATTTTCCACCACTTTCCCCCTGACTTGAGACAATCTCTGGTTCTTCTTGCACCCACGTGGGCCCCTCCTGACAGTTCCACCACCTCAGTACAGTCCCACACTTACATAGGCACAGGCCAGGGGACTGCAGAGAGAGCTAAAGAGGAGAAATTTCAGAAAGGCCCAGTCCCAGATGGCCATGCTGCCCTTTTCCTTACGTGGTGTTGAGTTGTAGGTAGGTAGTTTTAATGAAGGGTGGGTAGCATAGCAGCTTTTCTCTTGGCTTCAAAATAGATTTTTCCAGCTCAAATTCTTTTTCTTAAAACCACATGGGAGAGTTAAAACATCGCCACAATTATGAAGTACTTAGGAAATAAAAAGTTTATTCTTAGCATTTTTTATTCTCTTTACTATCCTTAAATGAACATAGTTTGCTAAATATATTAGGTCTGTAACTAGATACATATGTAATACTAATATTTAAAAATTTTAAATATTAACAAATCTTTCATAAACATGAATGGGGAAATAGAAACATCACCATTAAGCATAAGAACTATCATCACTATTTACAGTGGGGATGGAAAGATCTGGAGTGTCTCTTTAAGATGGACATTGACCCAGATAGGTAATGAGAATTACTTCAATGGGGCATTATCTTGACTGACTGATTAATTTTTTGGTTGAAGAAAGTCAGTGATTAAGTGATGTTTTTAAATGTATGCGTTATGAGTTGTTTGAAATATACATGTCAATGGTTTATAAAATTACTTTTTGAAAATTAAGTATAATTATATACTTTAGCGTTTATTGTTTGAGCTCACTTATTGGAATAATTTGTGCTGTTTCTGCCTTCATTTTCAGAGTCCTAATGAGAAACCTCTTCATTGGACATTTCCATACACCAAAAAATCAGCGTCATGAAGTATTACGATTAATGGGAAGCATCCTGGGTGTCAAAAGGGAGGAAATGGAGCAGGTAAATAAGTGATAAGAGACATTTGCGTATTGTTTATAAATAAAATAGGGTCCCCTATGACATTGTTTACTACTACTGTGTGTGTAACTTTGCCTGAATATAACTTTTTCATTGTGGAAATGGAATCTACAATGGTGAAGAGATGAATTTTTTCAGTTTGTGTATTTTAAAAAATATTTTGTAATCTATAAATCATCTCTCCTGTGAGAATGCTGAAATTTGATACAACAGTCCTCAGCTTTTATTTGAGATACTGCCTGGGATGACATGGTGATGGCAATAGTAGTCTTGATCAGTAGGAAACATTTACTGGGAATTAGACTTGAAAAACATGGCTTGTTACTATCTGAAACCATATAAATTATTTTTATTTTTTCTTACATTGATAATAAATTTTTTTTTTTTTAAATAACCTTTCAGTTGTTTAATGAAGACCAGGGCGTTGTTAGCAGGTGGATGACTGGGTGGCTTGGAGGAGGATCGAAAAGTGTCCCCAACACACCCCTGAGACCAACTCAGCAGTCTGTGCTTAATAGTGTAAGAGCCAATTTTATTCTTTTTGAATATGAATGGTGAAATGATTGTACATCACATTTGTTTGCAAGGAATCAGATTTATTTTATATAGCCATTTTATTTTGGAGTGTGAAAACTGAGCCCCAGAAGGGTGATTACTTAAGAGTAATAATCCAGTCGTAATAATTTTATTGTATGTAGTTTTTATTTTAAATTTTTATTATATAGTACTTCTGCTTTTCAAAGTATTAACTGTTTTTTCGTTGTATTTGATCATGCTGCTGTAGACAGTCATTCGTCTATCTTACTACTAAATTGTTAAAGACGGAAGCTTTACGCATGTCTGTGTCTACTCAGGCACTGAGCTTTTGAATACTTGCTGAGAACCTGCTGTGTACTGGACTGTTGGAAGCAGTGGGGATCCAGCAGCAGACCAGACAGTGCGCCTGCCCTCACTGCACTGACTCTCTGGTGGGAGGAGGCAGTTCATAACTTGGAAATATAGTGCCTGTTACACAATAGGCATAAAGTGAATATTAATTGAATTGAGAAGCACTGTGAGTTAGAGTGTGGAGTTTACATCTGTGGTTTTTTGTTGTTGTTGTTGTTTGTTTGTTTTTAAATAAAGAGGAAACTGAGGATAGATGATTTATCCAGATCTGGTTAAAGATAAAACCCTATTTTAAATTGGATAAAATTTTTTAAAAGATTTATTTATTTATGCATGCAGGAACAGGGGTGTAGGCCAGAGGTGTGGGGGGGTGAGAGGATTCACCAGAGACGGAGCGAGGAGCTCAACAGGCAGATAGATCCCTAGCTGGGAATCAAACTCATGTCTCAGTGGCTGGTGATAGCTTGCTAGCACTGCGACTTTAACCCCTGTGCTACCAGGGAGGCCCTAAATGGATAAATTTTAATTTAACTGCATTTAATCTGATACTATCACTGGTGAATTTTTGTTATAGTCAGTGAATGTGTCTTTTGAAAAATATGACTTTAATTCTTATTTTTCTATTATAATTTTTCATATCTATGTGAACAGTCATTACAATGGTTTAAGGCTTAGAGTCTTACATGTCATTGATGGCAACAAATCTAAGTCTTAGCAGGTGGCTGTATGGGAGAATGAGGTTTGTAATGAGTGTTGTCCTTAACATTTATTGATTACAACACTTTGTGGCTGCTGCCCTTGTATCTAAAGTACTAGTATTTTAATTGGTCATAAAAGTTATTTATAAGGAAGTAATTTACACGGCATACTTAGTTTTTAATATTCAATGAGAATAGCTGGTAAAGTTTCTTAGTTGTAGGAAATACAGTTTCAATATCTACTAATGTGACCAAATTATTTTTTCTTAGTCCTTTTCAGAACTTTTTGTTAAGTTTCTGGAAACAGAATCTCATCCATCTATTCCACCACCAAAGCTTTCTGTTCGTGATCTGAAACCTCTAGATTCACCAGGAAGAAGAAAACTAGATACAAATGTACCAGAAAGTTTTAAAGGTAAAATCAGATATTTATATCTGCAATTTAAAAATGGAGTGTTTAATTTATGATTATGTTTTACAATGATATTAACTTAGATTTTAGTGTTTTTGAAAATAGGTAATGATTTGTACTGAAATTCCAATAAAGCATTAACTTTTGACTTCCTGTATTTTTTTAGCAATCTGATATTTAATTGGTTTAGATTAAATCGCATGAAATAGTTTCCCTCTGTAAATCAGAAGAATTCCTCTCTGCAGCAGTCACTTTGAATTATCCTTCTTGGAGAAAGGGTAGTGAACTGATGACCTGCTTTCCTTTCTCACCAATGGTGCTTATTGCTAATCAGGTACAAGTGTAGTTTATACTTAGAGAAGGCTGATGTGAAAATCTGAGTGTTACACTCATTAACCACATCTTGGTATGTTAAACATTAACATTTTTTTAAGAGCAGTTGAGTAAACTGGCTTAGACGTCCAAGAATGTCATATGGCATTTGCTTCTGTTGAAAGATCTGCTTATAAGCAAGTGGCTTGGTGGTTCTACAGTGTGTGGACATGGTTCTCTAGCTCACTAGATTTTTTTTTAAAGATGTATATATTTATCCGTAGAAGAACTGGGTTATAGGCTAGGAGTGCAAGGGCTCACCAAAGACAAAATGGGGAGTAGAACAGGCAGATTTCCTGAAATACACTGCTAAGGAGAGCAGCGGGCAAGACAGCAGAGGTCTGCTGCGCCATGTGTGGAATCCAGCTCAGGCCGTAGTAGCAGTGATCGAGCTGAGACTTAACCCCTAGGCCACGAGGGAGGCCCCTTTCACTAAACTTTCATAAAAAACTTATGTTTTCTTTTTTAGAAAACTTTTATAGAAAATTTATGTAAAATCTATTTATTGTTTCGATAACAGGTTTGACTGCTAAATTGAGTAAAAAGTCTTAACTTCACGTAGTAGGACTAGACTGCACTGAAAACACTTCTTGTTCATTAAGACAGTGTTGCCCTATTTTCTCCTGCTCTCTTTTCTCTCTGCTCCCCTCTCTTCCCCTCTCTCCCTCTGCTCCCCTCTGCTCCCTCTCTGCTTGTCCCCCCCCCCCCATATTGAGGCGCTGCTGGCTTTTTTTGCATTGATCAGAGACAAAAGCCAGTGGTGGTCTGATCTGGATACATTTGCCTGAAAATAGCAAGCTTAGTCTTTGATTCTGGATTTGAAGAGTCCGGGCTGACTGAGTACCACCAGAAGCTTTCCCAGAGTTTGGAAAATGGGCACTCACAGCAAAGTACAACTTGGGGACTCAAGGGCGCCCCATGATAAGTATAGTTGATGCATTTATCTCAGTGCTTGCTTTGTTGTAGAGGCCTCTTTGATTTGAGTTTTCCATGGCTGAAGTGGGTGCCTTGGTCAGGTTACTTGTGTACCAACAGTGACGTTGTTAGCGGTCTCGGGTAATAAGGCAGCAGGACATTATATTCACTAGACATTAGGGCGTAAGCTAAGTGCCTGTTCCAGTAAAAACGAATTGTTTAACCTGACTTTTCAGGGAAACAATTGAGCATTGTTTCCAAACATTTGAATGTCTAAAAGATGATTAGATATGTAATGCATTTACTGTTTCTTATTTTGGTAAATTAATATTAAACTGATTGTTACTGTAACATGGGTGCCAGTTATTTTCATGGCTGTCATAATTATTTGGGGAAAACAGTTTCTCAGGTCCTTCTTTCAGGCGGATAGTCAGAGTGTACCTTGTGACATAGAAACTACCTTTGTAAAAGTTAAATGAAGTTTGTCAATTATATAACAGGTATTTAAACTTGAAACAGCAATATTAGCGTGTTTAATAAAGTATTAGCCATATATACAAATATTCTTTCCCCTTTCTTTCCCCCACTCCTTTCTTACTGCCTAGTCCTCTTTCCCCGTCTCATGAGCCCGGCCTCTCAGCTCCACGGTGTAGCAGCTGTGAGTTGAATTTATTTGGGGACTAAACATGGGAACTTAAAACACATGGATAGCACCGGATTTTACTGAAAATGTTTCGAATTACTAGGAGCGAACTTTAATCAGATTTTAACGATACAGATTAATATTTATTTGTATTTAGTAATTAGTGTCTATTTGTACCTTCTCTGTGAATAACTAAGAGCGCTCCAAAGTAAGTGTCCGACACCATGGTGGTGTGACCAGCAAGGTCGACTTACGTATGACAGTAGTAGTTAATTGATTATTTGTGAATATGACAGTGTTATTTATGTGCACAGTCTTGTTTCTATTTGACTTCTTTGTGAAGGTTAGTGGACTAAATAATTCATATTTTATCATTTAGATACAACAGAATCCAGGTCTGGTAGAAGAACAGATGTGAATCCATTCCTGGCTCCACGTTCTGCAGCTGTGCCTCTTATTAACCCAGCTGGACATGGACCTGGTGGGCCTGGTCATCTTCTTTTGAAACCCATCTCAGATGTGCTGCCCACATTTACGCCTTTGCCAGTGTTACCTGACAACAGTGCTGGAGTTGTGTTGAAAGACCTTTTAAAGCAATAGATGATTCTCAAGCCAGAGATGACATACATAGCACTTTACAGAAAACCCACAACACTACGTGTATGTACTTGATCACAAAGTGGCCTTTTGGAAAAAGTCATGTTTGTTGCAGTGTACATTCTCTAAATTTAATAAAAATATTCTTAGTACTTTAAGAAATGGCAGGTTTCACGGGAGGAAGCAATAGCTATATTACCTGCTTTTCCTCCCTCTCTGATTTGACCTAATTTAAGCTAGGAGAAGCATTTGGTCATTTGTTTTAATTTACAAAGTAAGTAAAATAAAAAGGCAAAATACTAGTAGCAATATATTAGCTCTTTAGTTCCTTCTCTGCTTTTCAAGCTCATTTAAGCTAGAAACATGGTTTAGTATATTTGCTAAAGATAATAGAGATTTACAAAAATAATAGTGATGACTTCTGTGCCTAATGCAGAAAATTGACCTGAAGCACGTATTCTTCATGTGTCGCAGCCTCTGTGGAGGTCGCAAGCGCAGGTGTCCCTTGGAGGCCCGGGTGTCCCGGTGTGCATTGGTGTGTTTGGTTCTGTGCAGTTTGATCACATGTGCAGGTTCGTGTGTCCACCATAGTCCAGACATCGAGCAGCTTCGTCATAGGCGTCACCCCTTGTGACACCCTTTTATAATCACAGCACCTCTCCCCTGCCATGTGCACATCTGCCAGCCACCAACTGTGCTCCATCTTTATCATTTTGACATTTGAAGAGTGCTGTGTGTGGGCTCATACATTATGTTACCTTTTGAGATTGACTTGGTTCCGCTCACCACAATTCCCTGAAGATCCATCCACATTGCAGCACGTCTGGGCAATTTGTTGCTGCTTCATAGTTGAAAGTGTATTGCAGATGTGCTTTTGTTTTAAGAGCTGAGGTATCTTTATAAAGGTATCTTTAAACTAAAAGTTTGCTCACACACATTTGCACAAGTTTCATGTATAGGAAAGTAGTCAATCAATCATACAGCTGCGTTTTTATAACTAATGAGCAATATCACTGAGCACGACACCGCCTGCCTGTCTGAGGTGTTGATACGAGAGGTGCATTAATCCAGGAGTCATCGTTCTCATTGTTGTGGTCGTGGGAGCCATGAAATCACTTCAGCAACACCAGCACTGGGCATTTGATACTAATGACAGCATTTTAGTTTTTTATAAACCTGTCATAAAAAATCCTAACTCGCAACTTAATTATATCAGGATGCTCATGGTTGATTCGTTGTTGAAGTTGTACATGTAAAGACATTTCTTGCAAATTTTGTGAATTTCAATATGCCTTGAAAATAGAAACATCTATCTAACAAAGAAAGGTGAAAATGATACTAATCCAAATGTGTAAATAGGCCTGGCTCTGGCCAAAGGTAAATTTGGTTGTTTGTAAATTTTGCTGTGATTAACTGTATATTTTCTACTGTATTTAGAAAATTGGATGTCTTTATGTGTTGATGGATAAAACTTGTTTTTCTGAAGAATTTTAGAACTGAGACATTGCTGCCTCAAAACATCACCTGTCTCCTTAGTTAATTTATTTATGTTGCCACTCTTTATTTAGTACACTTTAAAGGAAGTTGTCGTACAAGTTCTATATTAGAACTGCCAACCTGCCTCATGTCTGTTCTGCCCATTATTATTTCTCTAGGAAATTATTACTTACAGATTTTTATATGATCCTTTCAAAGATACTTTCATTGACCATCCTAAATTATTTGCTGCTTGCCATTGAAGTTTCATTTCAGTGTTGAGCATCTGAAATAAAAGTTCCTAAGTTTAAAAATAAAACACATGATCCTTCATTTTGAAGAAATAGAACATGGAAAATTTTTTTTTCTCTTTTAATTTTGAGAAAGGAAATGCATGGTGGGCATATAAGTTACATCATATTTTAATTACCTTTTATGACATTTTGAGTTTTTCTTTTCCTGCTCAGCAGTCTGTCCCTCCTCACCCCGTAGTTTAACATAAGTCTGAAAGCTGTTGTGGGTGGATTGTGTATCCACATGGCACGTGACCTTCCACGGCTGCTATTTAAGTAAGTACGTGCCCTTGTCCTAAAGCTGTAATACTCCACGTTCCAGTTGTGACACCATTGGCACTACCGCCGACTAGGATGCGTACTAGTGTTTGTTGATCTGAAGAGACAAACATCTCCATTTTCGAAACTAAATTATGTCAGAGATGAACCATCTGTACCAGGGATCTTCTCGGCGGCCATTCTGTGAGGCAGCGTATCTGATGAGTGATGTTAGCGGGAGGACAGCAGCAGCAGAGTTGTACCACAGTGTTTTGACTGCGGTAATTCTCCTGTTTCCTTCTCAAGAAACTTACTAGAAATTGTGGCTGAATTCTGCCTTAGCTGCCACAGTCTTCCATGACATTCCTCATGGTGTCAACCACTAGGTGTGATAGCAAATCCAGCCGTTGAATTTCATGTTCGTGTAGTTCCATATCACGTGGGTGTGCTTTAGTTCCTGCCGTTACTGGTTTAAAAGGGGTGGGGGGAACAGCACCAAAACGTAACAAAATACGGGGGGAAAGCAATGACTTTAATAAAACCAATCAACTAACGTATCAAATATTCCCCCAAATAAAGGCTCCAGTTTGTCTGAACATTGTAATGGTTAATTGGAAGGAGGAGAGACGCCGTGACTTACCCGGTCAGAAGACAGCGTGTCTTCAGGATGGAAGCGGTGAGCAGCACTGAGACAGTGCTTGTTCACATCATGCTCAAAGCACTGACTTTGACTCTTAAAGCTAATAATGGTTTTCATATCAAAGTATTGAAAACATCTTACAGCAACAAAAGTTCTTTAATTTTGTAAATATGAAGTGATATTTTGTAAATATGAAGTGATTCCTATGGAAAAAATAATGCACTTTTAATTCTGACCAAATTCCGACATTTGTGATTATTTACCCGTTTTTACTTTTCCACTTATGAAGGGTTCTCTACTTAAAATTGACAAATTGAATCTACGTGTGGGAAATTTACAACCCAAACTTAGTAAGGGGTTGTCTTTTATAGAGCTGAAATCAATGCATTTCTGAACTTCTCAGGAGCACCGCGAGGAATAGAAAAAAAAAAAAAAAAAAACTCCAAATAAAAATGATATATGTAAGTTGGCAATGTTTCATCCACAATAAAGAAAAAATTTTTTTAGCTAACAGCTGCTGACTTTTTCTTTAGAAGGGAGAGAAATGACTTACACATGTTGTTTATAGCAGCCGTGGATGAACCACCGAGGCTAATGTGTCCAAGTGTTGGCCGGATGTCTGCTGTTGGGAGACCATCTGAGCCTTGGAAATGTTAAGAATGAACAACTTGGTAGATGCTCGAGATTGTGTATGGAAAGGCCTGAGAGATGGTAGCCAGCCTTTGTTGGTGGTTTTTTTGCTTCCGAGGTGATAAGGATTTGTGGTGTCTCAGTCTCTGCGAGATAATCGGTCATGTCTGTCTGCATTTTTTCTTTAGATGTGGGACTTGAATACTTTGTTTGAACTGTTCGTGTGGTAGCAGCGTTGGAAAGAACCTGGGCTTCAAAGTTGAAAGACAGATTGAACGCTGATTTTGACCATTTCTTGTGTGACTTTTAACAAAGTATTTTGACCACGGGACTGTTCTCACCACTGAAATTACACCCGTCTAGGAACTGACGCGGTGGTGAGGGTCACGTGACTCATCCATTCATAATATTTATTAAATGAATAAATGTGCTCCTTGTGGAAATGTCCTGTGAGGACTGTGGTTCCGCACTGCCGAGTTGTCGTGATTACCACCAACAGTGGATGAGAATGTGAGGGGAGGAGGGTGTTGCTGAAGCCGGGAGTTGTTTCAGGAATGTAAGGAGGGGTCAGAAGTGTGGGGTGTGCTTGCTGCGCAACGAGATAAATTTTAAGAACAGTCCTCTGGAATTCAGGGCCAGGAAGTTGTTAGCTTTAACTTAGGGCAGAGCCGGGGGTGGGGGGTGTGGGGGGGTGTGGGGGGGTGGTAGGAGCAAATCCCTGTGGTCGAGTGCCTTGAGTAGGCGATGAGTGAGTAGAGGTAGTGTCTGCAGGCACACGAGAGTGATGGCGGGTGTGGACGATGGCAGATAGCAGGTGGATTGGGGCCTCGGGAAGTTGTGGGAATTTTCTTCTGTGAGGTTGGCATCCAGCTTTATCTGCTAAAATTGAAGGGGGCGGTGAGGCATGATCAGAATTGGGAAATTCATGGTCAAGTGGGAGGGGCAGATGCTTGTCGATTACTGGGAGAAGCACCGGTGGGGCATGTGCCAAGTGCCGGGAGCCTGACTCGGGCCTGGCAGGCTATGGGCTGGGAGTGGTGGCTCAGCACAAGGTAAAGGGAGCAGCACTTAGACACGCTAGGTGGGAGCAAGCGAACCGATGTCAGGAGTCAAGCAGCTCAAAACGTTATCAACCTGAACCTTGTTTTCCTGTTCTTGGCACTTGGGTCATGTGAATATATGATCGATCTGAGGGTTTTGTTTTTTTATTAAATGATTCAGCTAATTTTTCTTTTAAGATTTTTATTGATGTGTAGAAGAAATGGATGTATGCTAGAGGTGTGGGGGGCAGGGGGTGAGAGGATTCACCAGAGACAGTGGGGGACAGAAGGATTAACTGAAGTACACTGCTGAGGGGAGCAGCGGGGAGACAGGAGAGGTCTGCTGCGCCATGTGGGTAGCTCCCTGGCAGGGATCGAACTCAGGCCATGGCGGTGATAGCACTGAGATAACCCCTAGGCCACCAGGGAGAACCCCTATCCGAGGGTGTTACAGCTTTTTGTCATAATTTAATACATCCAGTAAATGAATCCATTATCACAACAATACTTGTCTTGGAGATAAAAACTGATGTTAATAAATGATGCTGTGAAGAGGTCAGCCAGTCCTCCCTGCAAAAAACAAGTATAAACTAAAATTGTCCAGCCATTTGGGAACTCTGATTATTGATCAAAAACAGACAAATTTGAAATTGTTGGTATTTGAAAAACTTCCGGAGCTGCAGGTGACAACTGTCGGCGTTGGCATCTGTAAACGTACTGCCTGGCGCTCCCCACCCCAACAAACCTCCTGGTTTTTCTAGCACCAAGATACATGCAAACCTTTGGCCACACACTGAGGGGCAAACTCAGTGGCAGGGGGAGCAACCCATGGCCTCTCAGTTAAACATAGTGAACCTGAAGAAAACTCAGCTTGGACCTATGCAAAGAAAATCATAAAACATTGTTAAAAGAAACAAGAAGACACAAAGAAATGGGTTGAAAGAATTAACATTACCAGGCCTTACAAAATGAACACTCATTCCGGATTGTCCTCCAACACCCAGAACGTCCTCAGTCTCCCTATTTAGATCAGAGGTCTGTCTGCTCACCCCTCGGACCAGTTCAAATCAGGATCCGAACACGGTCCAAACATCGCACTTGGTCGCGATGCTTCAGAGACAGTCCGTGCGCTGTGCTCTCCCTTCCTGCCCTACCAGCGTCCTGCAAACGGCCTTCTCAGCCTCCTTTGCTGGCTGGCACCCCGCTCAATTCTGCCAATGAGAAGCATTTATGGGAGGCTGGAGGGGCGGGAGGAGGCCGAGGTCAGGGTATTTTTCCCTGCTCGCTGCCCATGGCAGTGACTGTTACATTGGTGATGCCAACTCCTCCTTCGGGCAGCAGCACTATGATTCCCCTTCTTAGAGGTGGCCCCGGCTCCGGGGTCCTTCAGCACCATCTTGTCCTTTGCATCCTCCAGCATGGGGGTTGCTCCCTGATGTCGTTTCTCTCTGGGTCGCCTCAACATTCCTTTTGTCTCTTCAGCACGTCGGTCACCAATTCCTTGTATGCAATTCCCCTGTTGAACTGCCTGGCATGGGCATTTTTTCCCTACCAGAACTTGATGGAGGCAGACATTTTTTTACACTTTAAAAAAAAAAAAAATTATATCATTGATTCTTCTTCCTCATGTTTTTTGTTTTTTCATTTTTTCTCTTCTCTATATTTGTTGGCAAACTGGCAGTCAGATCTAGAGCCATGGCGACAGCCACCAGTTACATGTGGCTATTTAAATAATAAATAATAAAAAATGCATCTCGGTAGCATTAGTCATGTTTCAAGGGTTTGGACACCACCGGGGCTAGTTGCTCCCATGTTGACAACACAGACATAAGGAACATTTTCATCATGGCAGAGAGTTCCAGTTCACTGGTCTCAAGGTCTGACTAGATTCAGAGTCAATACTTCAGCGAGGACACTTGGAAGAGAAGGCTTGAGTTGGACAAACGTCCCATGTCCACGTCCTTGTGTTCAGTTAAGTGCTGAAAATGAAGTTTCTCACCATGACCACCTGGGTAGATGTTTTAATGTGGATTCCTTGTCCAGCTTCCCCTTCCCTGGATCAAAATCCCGGGGTAGTGCCTGTTGCATCTTGAGTAAGTCTGTTGCACGGTGACTTCTGAAAGCATTAAAATAACAGGACATGGAGGTGAACGCTTTCATCTTGTGTTCTAGCTGGGAACAGAACTAGGAAGGAAGTGACGCGTGCATAAGTGAACGGACTTAGGTTGCTGACGGTTGGGAGAATGAGCCCATGTCCAGAGAACAGTTGAGACATTCAGAACAGAATTCACCATTTATGCCTAACTCTCCTCAAATTTGCTCACATGCAAGTCTGTGATGGTTCTCACCAGCCCACATGCAAGCTTGAGATTCTGCCTCTCCTACATTTGATGTTAAAATCCAATATGGAGCCTCCCCTGGTGGCGCAGCAGTTGAGCGCTGGGCTGTGAAGCTGCCCGCAGCCTCTGCAGCGCTGGTTCGATCCCGGCCTCCAGCGAGGGTCCCACATGGCGCGCAGACCTCTCCTGCCATGCCCGCTGCTCCCCTCAGCAGTGTACTTCGTCAGTCTGCCTGTTCTGTTCCCTGCTCTGGCTCTGGTGAATCCTCTCACCCGCTTCTGACTATAACCTAGTGCTTGTATAAATAAATAAATAAATCTTTAAAAAAAAATAAATTTCAGAGGTATCATGCCTCTGAAATAATTTTTTAAAAAATCCAGTATGATGATGTGGTATATGAGAGTTGTATGTATTTTTCATTTTTATTCAGTAAAATGAAACGTTCACAGCATCATGTTCCCTCAAATTTTTGAGAAGGTTGATTTTGCTCATCTGGTAAATTGAAGCATCTGGGAGCCACCAAGACCCTGTCTTCTGTGAGTTGTAGTTAAGAATCAGGTCACTACCCATCATATCTTAAATTCATATTAAATATATTAAGTTTGCCCCAAATATTAATCTGTACTAAGTCTTAACAGACAAAAGCCAGAACAGCAAAGAGAAGAATGAAATTTGCGATTTTCTTGAGGGCACCCTGGGGCTCCAGGCAGCCTGTCACTGAGAGGAAAAATCCCCTATCGCACACGTGGTTATATGCTAAAGTCTCAGTCAGCTCACACAAGCTGTAGGAGAAGCCCAGGTGTTTTCATGATTCACTGAATTTCCTGAGAATTCCAAGTATGTGCAGAAAATCCTGACATCCTTCAACCGGTTGGTTGCATTAAATACAGTCAGAGATGAGACACGTAAAGGGGAAAAAATTCTGGAGAAGTCAGGGAACTTGGGTTCTAATCCCTCGTTTGCTTCTGGTTATATGATGTTGGGGAAGTCCATTTCTCTGGGACTTGGTCTTTGCGTCTGTACATTAGGGGGTTGCAGTAAATGATGTATAAGTTCAGGACTCAGTCACCAAGGCCCCTGGCGGCCTCCCTTCGCCTGTGCACCTACTTGCCCTGCTGTCCGGTCACTGCCTCCTGGTTAAATAAATACATTAATAATAACATTTCCTAACCTTTACTGGGGGCCTGCTGTGTGTGCCTGGGTCCCGGCTGGGTCTTTCAGAACACTCTTTCCTTTACAGGACCATGATATATTTTTATCCCCATTTTGTTATTTATTTTTATTTATTTATTTTAATCATTGTTCATTTTTAAACAATATTTGCTTCCCCCCAGCCCTCAGGCGTAGTCCCCGTGGAGTGTCCCCCAAGGCACCGGCGCACATCACCCCAGTGCCCTGGGCTCCTCCCTCCCTCCCTCTGCTCCCTCTCCCGCCTCCTCCCCTGCAGGACGGCTCTGATTCATAATTGTCTGTTTTCGTTTTCTTGTGTTTTGAACTTTTTACCCCCATTTTGTAACAGAAAGTGTGAAGCTCAGCAAGGTGAGCAACTTGCTTCAGGTGCTGTATCTGCCAGGGTTTTCCGGAGAAACAGAACGAGTCTTTTTAAAGGTCATTGTATGTTGGACATAAGCCTGACGCGGAGCAGAAACCACAGGGCACGAGAGAAGGAATCTACGTGCATAAAAAGACAAGATGTATGTGTTTCCAGAAAGGTCCGAAAATCAAAGGACAAATGGAGGAAAATAGCTGCCATGTCCATGAAAATGGAGAGATCTCGTCACTCTGGAAATAAAAATGGGCAAAGAAAGCGAGCGGGGCCGTTTCGTGTGCGGCCGTGGTCCCGGGGCCGTGGGGTGGACGAGTTACTAGGGAGATGTTGGAAATAGCCGGGTCAGGGTGGGCTTTGGACACAGCGACGATCAGGAGGGCAGCTCTTCCTCCACCCCCACAGCCACCCGGGGGCGGACAGGGAACCCCAGGAGCAGAGCATCCTCCTGCCCAAGGCCGGCCAAGGGAAGCGGCAAGCCCAGGACAGACCTCAGACTCCCGTTGCCCCCTCCCCACGCCACGGGGGAGACACCTCGGCCCGGCCCGAGATCATGTCAGCTTTTCTCCAAGATGCTCAACTTGCTCTGGCGGAAAACAGGCCGTGATTTCCTCTCCCGCCTCACCCTGCGGGAAGGTTGACCATAGGAGAGGTCACATCTCCCCACCCCACCAAATGCTCCCCGTAAATAGAGTTTTCAATTCTATGAGGCTCGCATTCGAGTGGGTCATCCACGCTGCCCGCGCCAGGGCACCTCATGCCCGCAGGTGCAGCCAGGCCCGAGCTCTGCCCTCCACCTGCTCCCAGCCGCCGCCCGGGTGGGGTCTCCCGGGGACAAACGAGAAAGGGCGTCTGGGCACTTTCCCGGCTGTAGGTAGGGTTTGCTGAGGGGTTCGAGGCGAACCCCCACCTTGAAGAAGGGACTTGGACTGCAGCCAACCCTCTTCGTCTTTTACAGAAAAGTGGCAGGGTTTCATCTGATAAAGGGTTCAGTGGGAGCGAGACTGTCATTATCCATCACTGAACCTTCCCAACTGTCCCAACTTCACTATCAAGAAATCACTTTTGAGCAAGATCTTTAAAATTAAATTTTTAAAAAAGAAATTTTTTAAAAAAGATTTTATTTTTATTTATGCAAGAGCCGGGGTACAGGCCAGAGGTGCAGGGGGTGCGAGGACTCCCCAGAGACGGAGCGGGGCGCAGAACAGGCGGGTGCACTGAGCTCCCTGCGGGGGGAGCAGCGGGCGGCGGGCGAGGTCTGCCGCGCCGCGTGGGTAGCTCCCTGGCCGGCCGGGACTCGAACCCGCGCTGCAGAGGCTGCGGGCGGCTCCGGGGGGGGGGGGCCTGAAGTTAAGTCCGTCTGACTTTGTTTTCCTGGGCTTGGGCGAGGCGGCCCCAGCGTCGGGGGTGCGGGCGGGGGGCAGGCGGCCCCGGGGTGCTGGGAGCAGCGGGCGCGGGGGGCGTCCTGGGGGCTTGCGGGGCGCAGCGGCGCGTGGAGGCAACTCGGCCGCCGGACCCCGGGGTGCTGCCCCCGCCTCCCGCTCCCCGCCCCGGGCCCTGCCCGGCCAGCGGCGTCAGCCCGGCCCGCCGTCCCCCCAGAGCCGGCCGGCCCCGCCCCGCCCGCCCCGCCCCCGCCCGCCCCCCGCGAGACGTGGGCCGGGGCGGCCGCCCGGCCGGGGAGGCCCCCCCAGCCGGCGCGCGGCCCTGGCAGGCGCCCCGAGATCGCCGCGCGTCTGGCCGGCGGGGCTGTAATCCGAACCAGCTGCGCGGCGGCCGCGGCCGCCCTGGGATGAGGAGCAACTCGCCGCGCGCAGTCCTGCGCCCGCGCCCCGCGCCCCGCGCCCGCGCCCCGCGCCCCGACCGCCCGCGCCCCGACCGCCCGCGCCCGCGCCCCGCGCCGCCATGCCCGCGCTCGGGAGGTAGGTGCCGCCGGGCGGGGCGGGGGGCCCGAAACCCCGCGAGCCGCCCGGGCCGGCGCCCCGCGGGCCGGCCTCGAACCGGCGGCCCCGGCGGCCCGGCGCCTCCCCGCGGGCCTGGGGGCGGCAGAGCGCGGCCCGCGGGGGGACCGGGCCGGATCCGGGGCCGCGGCGGAGTCCGCGCGTCGCCCCGCACCCCCGCGGGGCCCCGGCCGCGCCCGCCGTGTCTGCCGGGGCTCGAAGCGCGCAGCCCCGGGGTCCGCCCGGAGAGAGAGCGGGGGCCGCGCAGAAGCGCCTGCCAGCCCCGGGCCTGTCCCGGGGAAGCGGCACTTCAGGGGGGCGCCCGCGGGGTCTTTCCCCAGGGGACGCCGGAACATGCAGCTGCTTCCAGCAGACGAGCTGTGTGTGCGTGTGCGTGTGTGCATGTCTGTGTGTGCGTGTGCGCGCGCGTGTGTGCATGTGTGCGCGTGTGCATGTGTGCGCGTGTGCATGTGTGTGTGCGTGTGCGCGCGCGTGCAGTCGTGCGTGTCCTGAGAGCCCCATGGTGCTGCTGCCATCCTGGGCCGGGACCGGCGCTTCCCTGACAGCCTCAGACTCGGTGGGTCTCCCGGGCCCCCTCACCGAGTGGGATGAGGCATCCGATGGGTGGACCCCCTCTTGCAAAAGTTCCGGGGGACAGCCGTGACAGCAGGGGACCCCCAGCATGCCTGCAGCTGGCTTACTTTGGGGCCGTCTAGGGTTCCTCATGACAAGGTGTGGCTGCTTAGGACACGGTAAGAGCCGCCGGCGCCCGGGCGTGATTTCGTCTTCAGAATCTTCTCAGTTTGGCTGGAATTTTCTTCGCCCCCAAGACCCAGCCGTGGCCCCTCGGGGCGGCTGGGCGGAGGCTGGAGCTCCCGCAGGGGACCTGTCTCGGGCCGCCCTGCAGCCCAAGGGGCCTGGGGAGCGGGGGGCAGCGGGGTCACACGCCTTGCCCGCTGGGCTCGGGGCGCACGGCCTTGTCAGGCTGTTCCGTCTCCAGCACCAACGGGGCTGGGTTTTATCACCACCCGAAGGAAACTTCATGTGAAGAAACAGAAAAACAGTGAAATTCATAATATGCAGCCTGGAAAACAGATTTGTTATTCTTCTTCCGTTCCTTCCGGAGAGAAATCTGGCCTTTGCAACTATCAAATCAAATGTCAAAAGCCCCGGGATTTGGCTCTGCCCTGTAGAAGGTCGGCGCTGTCTCCGGCCTTCGAGAACCTGGCTCCTGCCGGAACTTAGATGAAGTGAAAACCTGTGGACTCTTGGGGTGGGGGGGTCTTTATTTTTTGGAAGTGGCCTGTATGTACCTCCTAGCATCAGGCTCTCCTCCCTCTGGTCGTCACCTTTACTTGCCGCCCACCAAGCCTCGGGGCTGCTGAGTGAGAGGATCCTTGCATCACGGAGTTGAGAGTTTTGTAATCTCTTGCCTACAGTTTTTACAAAGGGAGGGATTGTAAGATGGGGGCGGGGGGGTAGGTTGGGCGCAACAGGCCATGAATCCAGCCATGTCCCCAGGTTTACTGCCCTCCTAAAGACGTCCTCAAGGTCACCTCCTCCAGGAAGCCTTCCCTGCCTGGCCTCCCACAGCCTGGCTCTCGGGGACTCACCGCATACATCTGTCGTCCTTCACACTTCTGTCACTTCATACTTCTGTCGTGCAGACACTGATCCTGCGGCTCGTCTTAGTTTTGTCGCTGTTGCAGGGTCCTTTCAGAATACAGGGGTTCAACACTTAGGGTCAGGCCTGCAAGGAGTTGTTGCTCAGAGAGATTGTTCTTGAACTGAATAATAGAACCGAATCAAGCTCTGCGTGTGTATAGCTTCTGTTCTTTTTTCCAGCTTCAGCGTTGTCAGATGTTCAATACCTGTCGCACGGTGGTGCAGCCAACCTCCAAAACTCTCTTTATCTTGCCCACCTGCAGCTCTGCTGCCCCCACTAAGCGACAACCCCCCACCTCCCCGGCCCAGGGCAGCCCCGTTCCCTCCGCTTTCTGCCTCTGCGATTCCAGCTGCCACAGTCCCTCCTGGGAGTGGAATCGTGCAGTATCTGTCTTTCTGTGACTGGCTTATTTCATGAGGAAAATGTCCTCAACATCATCCGTGTGGTCGTAGGTGTCAGAATGTCCTTCTGGAAGGCGAAATCATGTTCCACGCGTGCACGGGCCACGTGTCCTCAGCCTTCGCCCAGCAGCGCTTGGGCTGCTGCTGCTGCACCTCTGGCCTGTCGTGCCGAGTCACGTTGGGAAGGCAGGCGTGCCGCGTCCCCGAGGTCCCGTTTTCCGTCCTGTGGACATAGGCCCAGAAGCGGAGTGGCTGGGTCGCGGGATAATCCATTTGCAGTCTTTTGAGGACCTTCCACCCCTGTTCCGCAGCAGCTTGCGCGGCGCCCCGTCGCCGTCAGCCGTGCGGGGGGTTCCAGGCTCTCCCGTCCCCGCCGACCCTTGCTGTCCTCTGTGCTCTTCCCACTCTCGCCGTCTCGACGCGGGCGACCTGCGCCCGTCCGGTCTCGTGTCGGCGGCTCGTGCTGGTCTCGATCTTCCGGCCCGGGAGGTAGAAAGCCCCGTCGCGGGTCGGCTTGGCGGGGTGGACGCCGAGTCCGCTGCTTCTCGACTCGTCCTCCAGGGTCTGGTGCCCAGGCCCCCTCTCGGCCAGTGGGATGCGCTCGCTTCCCGACACGCGTGTCTTCCGTGGCCTTAGCGCTCCCCGTGGGCGCGTTTCCGCCGTCGTTGGCGGGCGAGGCTGGCATCCTTTCCGAAGACAGTTCACAGCCCAGGCGGCGCGCCCGGGCAGGAGGCGGAGGCCCGCGGCCTGGTCCGCACAGTGTCACCACCACAGCGTGGCTTGTCCACTCTTCTTTGAAGCGGCAAAACCCTTTATTTAGAAAAGGTCACTCGACGTTCTCAGTATGCGAAACCAGCACAAGGGCTGGCTTTGTCCGGGATGTTGGGGAGTCAGGACCCCCCCCAGCCTCTTCCGGTGCACCCCTCCCCTGCCCTCCTTTACAGGCACAAGGTGAAGGCACCAGTGTAAAATCAGGGGCGCCTGGAGCGCCATGCTGACCCCAGACGTGGGTCCCGGCCGCATCTTGGGCGCTGACAGGGGCTTCTTCTCTCCACAGGCTTCTCACCGTCACCGTCCTGGCCCTCTGTCTTCCAAGGCCCGGGAATGCGCAGGTGAGCCTTTGCTCGTGTCATGATCTCCAAGTGTGCTACAAGCCAGAGGGTGTCCAGCCACGTACTGCAAGTCCTCGGATTGTGGAGGAGGGCGGGGCCGCACCTGGACCCAGGTGTCTGGCTGTGCAGAGATTGCAGGTGCACCCCAGGGGTGTGACTCGTCCCAGGTGCGGTCCTTCATCGGGGCTGGCACCTCCAGGTCCTGGCTCCCAGCCTCGGCCCCTTTTCGTGACGCCACGCTGCCCCGTCGGTGCCCCTCAGGGGTCTTGACTTTGCAGATCTTAAAAGGTCAAAGGTTCTCCAGCGTTTCCGGGTGGTGGGACCCCTGTGATGCCTGCTTGAGGCCCACAGGAAAGGGGGGGTGAGGGGGGTGGCCACTCTAGGAAGTGGAAGAAAACGTGCCCACAGGCAGCGTGGGCCGCAGCCGCCCGACCCGCATGGGGCGAGCCCCTCAGAGGCCCGTGCAGGCGGAGGTGACGCTCCCATCGCTGCCCACAGCATCCGGGACTCTCCGGAGCCCGAGTCTGTGTCTGCAGGGGACAGGTGGGCCCAGCTCCCCTCATGATCTGAGCAGGACCGAGGGGCTGCGGGGCCGGAAGGGAGTATTTTTCCTCCTATAATTGTGAATTTTGAAATGCTTTCTGACCAAAGAGCCAGAGAGGATCCTCATAAGATTAGGAAAGACGTTTAGACCCCGGAGGCACCCGGTGGCCTCTAACCCAGCCTCCCGACAGATGAGGCATTAGGCCCTAGAGGCGGCGGTCCGCACTGCGTTGACCTCGCTCATTGACTACACCCACACTTTCAGCCTTTACAGCCACAAGAAGTAAGTACTGTCACCCCATTTTACAGAGGAGGAGACTGAGGCCTAGAAAAATTGTGGAACGAGGGGCTCCAGTGAGAATTTGAAGCCAGGTGGGCCACGCTCCGCACCTGGTCTGTCTCCTGGCTTCTGGGCTTTATGGCACAGCCTCCTGGCTCAACTGCTTTGCTTGTGCTCCAAGGCCTTAAGACACCTGCACCCCTTCGAGGAACGTAGACTCAGTCTATTGTCTCCACAAAGCAACAGGCAGCTCAGGGGAGCCTGAACCCCGAGGGACAAGCCAGGGAGGGGCTTCCACAGTCAGACACACACCTCCTGGGCTTGTTTCTATAGACCATCAGTCTCCAGCGTTTTCCCAAAAGGCTCACAGATTTGCCACTTCCAAGACAGTTTTTTTAAATGCATAATGTTTCACTGAAGTTGTTCGTGAGGCTTTCAGCCCCAGGGGACTGTTGAGCTCTATTTCTGGAAGCATCTTTGTGTAATTGTCTTGCTGAGGTTCACAAAGGAATTTCTGCAATTCTACTGTTCTTAAAAAACTGTCACTGGAACTTTTTATGTACAGACCTCAGAATCGTGTAGAGGAATTCACAGAGGGCACAGAGCTCATCTGGGGCACCGACAGGGTGAGGTTAAATAGCGCCCTAAAAAGCAGTCAGATCCCTTCCCAGAAGGGATAAACATGGGGCTTGCTGGTGGGGTGGATCAGATGGGGTTATTCCCTTTGTCACTAGAGCTCAAAGATAACCATCCTCCTGATCACCATCCTCCACAAAAGGCGGGTTTGAAGCGGGGGTGCAGGGAGCTTTGAAAATGGTACCAAGTTTAAAATGATTGTAACACACAAAACCCAAAAGGACGAATAGGGGCTACACCAGAGGCGTTCTATGACCCGCGCCTGTTTTACTTTCCTCCACTTCCCAGCATTTCTGTGGTAGAGTTACAGTTCTTTCATAGTGTGGAAAAGGCTCTAACACGACCGTGCTTCTTGTCTCCTCTCCCGCAGCAACAGTGCACCAACGGGTTCGACCTGGACCGCGCGTCGGGACAGTGTCTAGGTACGAGGCTGCGCGGGCCCTTCGGGGTGGGCTTTCGTGGCCGCTTCCCTGCAGGGCCCCTTCCCTCCGGCTTGGTCCCGCGCGGTCAAGCCTGTATTAACCGTGGAAGAAAGAGCGACACGGGATGCTGGAAACCAACATCCTTTCCTGGGTCACCTTTTTGTGTGTCTAGCGCCCGACTAAGGAGGGTGAGGGGTTAAAGATGAGTCACCATCCCTCTCTCCTCGGGGAGCTCGGCATCTGTGTGTCCCGTGATTGCCATAACAGACTGGCGCACATGTCGTGACTTCAGCAGCACCAATTAATTATCTCACAGGTCTGAAGGTCCAAGGTCCTCAGGGATCGGCCAGGCTGAAGTCAAGGTGCTGGCAGCGATCGATCCCTCTCTGGAGGACCTCGGAGTAATCCATGTCCTCGCTGGTGGGCCTTGTTGGCAGAGTTCAGCTTCTTTCATTTTTTAAAAATTGAGACATGACTGAGACACACCAGCGCGCGGGCGGAAGGCCTGCTGAGCGTTGGTCTGCTGCACATGTGTGAGGCAGCGTGGTCGCCACGGTAGCATCTGCTGGTGCCTCTGTCACGCCACATAGTTACCATTTCTTTTTTGTGGGAAGCACATGGAGCATCACACAGTTCAGCATGGTTAACGCTAATCTCAACGCCGTGCGCTAGACTCCAGGACTTGGTCTTCTTCTCACTGGAAGCTTGTGCTGTTCGGCCAGCATCTCCCCATTTCCGCACCCTCCTGACCCTGGTAACCACTGTTCTGCTCTCTGTAAGGTCAAGCGTATTAAATTCCTCCCACAAGTGAGGTCATGCACTAGTTGTCTTTCTCTGACTTCTTTTACTTCGCATCAGTCTCTCAGAGTTGCTATAAATGGCGGGCTTTCCTTCTTTCTCTTGATTGAATAATAATAATAATCCATCTTAGGATGTTTCCAGATCTTGACGAATGTGAATAAAGCTGAAACATGAGGATGCAGATATTTCTTCAAGATTTAGTTTTCATTTCCCGTGGTTGTATACCCAGAGGTGGAATTGTTGGATCCTATGACAGTTCTATTTTTAAAATTTTGAGGAATTTCCATACCGCTTTTCACAGTGCCTGCACTCATGTACATTCCATAGAATCCAGTTTCCTGCAGCTTTAGCTCTGAGGCCTGTTTCCTTGCTGAGGGCCTTTGCCAGTCTCTAGAGGCCGCCCTCATTCCTTGGCTCATGGCCTCCTCTTCAAAGCCAGCACCATGAGTTACAGCCATCACATGGGTGAAACTTGGCTTTTTCTGTTGCATCTCTCTGGCCAGCCTTCTGCCTCTTCTTCTTCCACTTTGAAGGATTCTTGTGATCACTCTGAGCCCACCCAGATAATCTCCCCATCCTGAGCTCAGATGATTAGCAACTTTAATCCCGCGTGCTACCTTCTTCCCCTTTGCCGTGTGACTTAACAGGGTCACAGGTTCCAAGAATGAGGATGAAGATGTTTTGGGGTAAGGTGGGGGTGCTGTTCTCCTAGCACACGATCTAATGGGTGAGCTACACCAAGACAAAGTGAACTCTATGGGGTGGAATAAAATCATTGCCAAGTCAGGGGGAAAGCAGTGGGCCCTATAAAAGTGGGGGAGAGAGTGACACCTTCAGTCTGGGGCCAATAAAGCAAGTCTTCAGGGAGGTTACATTTGAATTGGGTTTTGAGGGATGAGTAGGATCCTGAGAAATGGCAATTTAAGTGGAAGAAACAGCATCAGTGAAGACCACAGTGGAAAGAACTCTCGGGGCATAATTTGTTGTGGAGCATAACGTATATAAAAGGAATAAGCTGGGTTCTCTGCCTGCCCCCCTGGGATTTGTTTAGCTTTTAACTATATTTGCTCTAGGTCGTCCCTAAGTTTATATCCACTAAGAACAGAGAGGAGACATGGCTCAAAAAAATGATGAGCGATGAGGCATCAGCCCCACCATAGAACATCTCAGTTTGCCCTATGATGTGGCGGTGGGTGAGGAGGGCCAAGGATGAGGAGAGGGGCAGCAGCCTTAGTTTCTGGCCCCCCAGTTTTTTGCTTGTTTTTGTGGAGATAGCGTTACTTTACAACACCATCTAGGTTTCAGGTGTACGAGTTCTCATTCCAGAAACTACACATTTCATACCACACCCACAAATGTCGGGTCACCCCAAACTACTCCTCCCCTTCCCCTCTGGTCACCCCCACTTTTATGGCAGAGTCTAAGGATTTATTTTTGTTTTTGTTGTGTTTGATTGATTTTGCTTTTCTTTATATTCCACAAATGAGTGAAAATGTCTGATATTTGTCTTTTTTCCTTTTGATTTATCCATCCATGTTGTTGAAAACGGCAGGTGTCATATTTTTAATGGCTGAGTAATATTCCATTGTGTATCTATACCACATCTTCTTAATCCATTCATCTGCCGTGTCGTCCAGCACTTGGGTTGGTCACGTGACTTGGATGTTATGAATTGTGCTGCAACAAATACAGACCGTGTATACCCCTTAAATTCATGTTTTTATATTCTTAGGTAAAAACCCAGAAGTGGAATTGATGGATCACATGGTAGTTCTAGTTTTAATTTTTTTTTAAAGATTTATTTATTTATACAAGCACTGGGTACAGTCAGAAGCGCGGGAGGGTGAGAGAATTCACCAGAGACAGAGTGGGGAACTGAACAGGCAGACTGACGAAATACATTGCTGAGGGGAGCAGCGGGTGTGGCAGGAGAGGTCTGCGCGCCATGTGGGACCCTCTCTGGCAGCTGGGGACTGACCTACCCCACTTAACCATGATTTCAGGCTAACTGCTAGAGAACAGAGTCTTCTGAGCCTCAGTATTTCCCTCTCGCGAGGTGAGAGCTGGCATGAGGTCTCACGTGAGGTGGTTGGGGTGAGCTGTCAGGATTCAGGCAGATGTTCCTCAGCCGCTGTCCAACATGGAGCAGACCCTGAGGCTGGTGAGCTGGCCCAGTGTATGGGACCGGGTGGGCTGCTCGTGCAGGGTAAGAACACAGGCCTCCCCTATCTACACCCTGGCAAGGCTGATTGCTAAGGAACCGACCTCTCCTCTCCAGGTCTGACAAGCAGAGCACCGGCCTGGCTGGAAATGAGCCCAGCTTGGCATGGTGCGAGCTGGCTTCACAGTCAAGCTCCGCTCTCTCAACAAGCAACTAGCTCTTGACTCAGCCTTTCTTTCTTGTTGCAGGCGACTCTTCCCTGCCCAGCTGTTACTTAGAGTAGAAGTGGATGGTTCTTAGCTCCATCCTGGTGTTCCCACAGTGTAGTTTGGGCACAGAACAGTATCTGAGATGTCTTTAGACCGCATGCCCACAGATACATATTTTGTTACCTTCTTTTTTTTTTTTTTCCTATGCATATTTATTTATTTATTTATTTTTTAAAATAATAAATTTTATTTTTATATTCCCCCATACAATTGCAAACCCCCCATTCTGACCCCAATCCCTCCCCTCCCGCCCCCCACCCCCCAAAAAGTGTCTCTGGTTCATAGTTTTTTGTTGATTTTGATTTTCTTTTATGCCAGTTGATAGTATTTTTCATTTGGTGTCATCATATAAGATTAAAGAAATACTCTGACTTGGGTTTCAAATGTGAGTTCATCTAAAGAGAAGAATTAAGTTTTTGTGGCTATGGCCCGGATGGTGACGGTGGTATTTGAATGGCTGATGCTTGGGTGACATGGGTCAATTTGGTTTGGTGCGGCCAAATTACCTGCTGGGATTACCTGCTGGTGTTCAAGAGCAGATCCTATGCTCAGACTCAGACCCCCAGAGTGTCCTGGGGCCCTGCCTGGCCCTCTTGATGCAGGGCTCTGCTTAAATATGTGCCATGCACAGTGTGGACACTAATGCTCATCTTTCTGTGGCTTCCAGATGTCGATGAATGCCGGACCATCCCTGAGGCCTGCCGGGGGGACATGATGTGTGTTAACCAAAATGGCGGTTACCTATGCATTCCCCGAACGAACCCGGTGTATCGAGGGCCCTACTCCGCCGGCTCCTCCTCCTACTCAACGCCCTACTCAGGGCCGTACCCAGCAGCTGCCCCGCCGCTCTCACCTTCAGCCTCAAACTACCCCACGATTTCCAGGCCTCTCATATGCCGCTTTGGATACCAGATGGATGAAGGCAACCAGTGTGTGGGTGAGTGGCTCGGCCTCTTAGGTTTCCTCTCCATCGTGCCCTGGTGAAGGCGTTGTCCACACCCAGCAGGTCCCCCCAAGTGGGGCATCAGCTGCCATTCAACACACAAGTGGGGTGGCTACTTTCTACCTAATCCTTTCACTCTCGGCAGCCCGTGTCTCCGGGAAACCCCCCGGGGAAGCTTGGTTTGCTGTCTCGTTCACAGCTCTCCAGAAAGCCCATTTGTTTTTCTTTATTTTCATCTAGCTATTGGTTCATCCATGGGCCAGTTGCTTGTATATATTATATATCCATTTCAAGATCAAGCTCATATTTTCTGTGACAGTAGGAAATGCATCTGGTCAAATGCGTTAAATGAATTTCAGAGAGAACATCTAGAAAGGACCAGAGCTTTCTCTTCAGTGCCTCTCACCTGTGATCAGAGCAGATGATCCTGTAATTAAAAAAAAAAAAAAAAAAAAGAGGCCCAAGGCCATGTGTTCTGGAAAGAAAGAGGATTGCTTCTGTGGGTACCAAGGCCCAAGGGAGCCTTGCTGATGGGGACATGTAGTAAATTGACCTCTGGACGCAGGTTATGCCTTGAGGGCTCAGAGGACCTAGAGCGTGGTGTGGCCGATGCCCCGGGGAGATCTGGTGTCCCTTGGCCAGTGGCCTTTGAGGAGGGTTACCCGAGATCCTCCCTGGTCTCTTTGGTTGTGGGTGGGCCTGAACCTTGTGTCTGTCTCTAGCTGTGGGAGATGGTCTAGCGCCATCATTCTCTAGAAGCGTCTTTGACCGTGTGCCCCTCTACAAAATATTTTTGAACTTGGATTCTCATTATATTCGTGTTTGTAAGTTACATGCGTATCTTGTTATATGGCTTGATGAGCATAAAGCATCCATAAGAAATAGAAAAAAATTGAAAAGATGCGATAACATACATATGAATTGAAGTTTGAATATTCCCTTCCTGTCCTCCCAGCGCGTGGAGAATTCTGGCCTGATTGGTGAGATGTGTTCTCTCTCCTCTCAGCGCTCTGGAGTGCTGAGCTGGTTGCTCTGTCCTGTCTTCTGTGCGCGCCTGCGGATGCGTGTTTATTTCTACCTGGATATGTAAATAGCGTGCAAGCAAAAGTCAGAGCTGCAGGGAAAATTGGACACACCGAAACCCATGTTTCCCCAAGGATGGGGCGTGTGTGTGTGTGTGTGTGTGTGTGCGCGTGCGCACGCGTGCAGAGAGAGAGAGAGAGAGAGAGAGAGAGAGGAGGAAGAGAAGAGGGCGTGTAACACTTTTAGGACAGACAAGCTTGCTGAGCGTGCACGCCCCGTCGAGCATGGGCCGAAGCCTTGGTGGTGAGAGTCACACGTTCCTTCGGCACTTCCTTGTAGCGAGCAGCAGAGCCGTTGTCACTGGAAGGGGCGTCCGCCACCCTTCACCTCAGCCTCTTTATTTTACAGAGAAGGGAACATGGACTCCAACAAGCCATGTAAGTGCAGAGGTGGGGTGGGGGTCCAGCTGTCCCATCATCCTGATCCCCCCATGACCCCACTCATCTGCCAGAAAAGAGGTCACCCCCTGGGCCCCGCAGGGAGCTGCGGCTGGGCGAGCGCCGCTCTCCCAGGTTGTCGTGGGCAGGGTGCGCGGAGGGACTGCGGGCACGCGTGCACACCTTGAGGTGGCAGGTGAGGACAGTCGGAGTCCTGCAGGCTGGAGGAGGGCCCTGGGGGGCTGGGATCAGCCTGCTCTACCTGACGCCGGGCCCCTCTGTGGAACTGGCGGAAATGGCCGCAGGGCTCTCCAGGGCGCCCCTCAGACCCGCCCTCAGACCTCTTTCAGGACCCGGCGACCTTGAGAATAAGGACACGGCTGGGAAACCGATTCAGCTCCGGTCCCTGTGACATCATGCAGTTTTATGGCTCCAAACCTGTCACACGGGAGCTGCAGAGCCTTCATAATGGGCCTTTATGTGAGAAGAATACAATCTAGCCTCCCCGGCGAGGGCTGGCACGGGGCCCGTCCGTTTCCAAAACGTCCAGCATTATGCATTCATAAGTCTCGGCCCTCTCTCACTTCCCGTCACCCCACCCCAGCTTCCTGAGGTGCGGGGGTCCTTCTGGGCATTGTGAGAGGCGGCGGCGTGGCAGGGGCTAAGGAGGGCCAGAAGGGGAGTCTCTCTGCCTCATTCTCCCCGGGGAGCAGGGCAGCCAGGCCAGAGGCTGCTGCGCGGGGAGCTGTTGAGGAAGAGGGACAGGGCCTGGGGTCTGGGGAGGGAGACTGTGTTTCCAGAGCTTTGGTCTGGTCTGTGGAGGAAGCGTGGGATGAGCTGCGTGACGGGAGGGCTTGGGCAAGCTCTCTGGAGCCGCAGTGTTCTGGGAGGGGAGGGCAAATCCACGGCAGTCGTCTCCTCATCGAGATCAAAAATGAGCAGCAGCAGCAAGAGCAGTGATGGCGAACGCTTGCCCGGTGCCGTGCGCAGGGGCCGCGGGTGAACACGCCGACCCTCGCCCTCTGCGGTGGGACCGTGACTGTCCTGGTTCCAGGCGGACGCAGAGCACAGAGAGGTGGAGACCCGCAGAGTCGTGCAGCGATGAGGGCCTGAGCCGGGATTTGAACCTGAGCGGCTCGGGAGGCCGGGAGGGCACCACACCCGGGCTAGGGATCCGCGCTCACGGCACAGGCTGCACCACACGTGCTGCCGCTCGCGGCCAGTTTGCTTTAAACGAAAACTCGTCCTGCCCCGCCGATGCCCGGGTGAGAGCTGAACAGTGACACCATCAGATGTCCCCGGGTCAGGAGAGCCGGAGGCTGACGACGTGATCAACACCAGAAGCGTCAGCCGCACCGGGCTGTCCTGACGGGCGGTTTGCTCCTGACGGTCTTTGTGCACCTCGTCACAGGAAGGGCAGCTGGGGGCGAGAGGGCAGGGGTCTGCTCGGGCGCTGGGCCCGCCCTTCTCCCGCACCAGCGACCAGCCATCTGAAAAGCAGACGCCCTCGCAGGTTCGATTCCTGCCTCTGCTGGTGGCTTTTCGGTGGCCGCGGGGCCAGAACCTGCCATTCGGCTGACAGACGCATCCCGGCTCTGGGTGAAGAAACGAAGGCTCGCTTGAAGGCCCTCGGAGCCCGTCCTGGAGCCTGGTGAAAGGGCTCGCCTTTCTCCACAATTAAAACGCTGCTCCGTGAAGCCCGAACCTAGACCACAGCAGAGGCGGCACCGCGAGCACTGACGTCTGGTCACCCGGCCTGGGGGTGTGAGCGTGGGCCTCAGCTTGTCTCTTCGCCACCCTCACCCGGCGGGTGAAGGAATTAATGTCAGATGCTACTGATTTGCCATTTGTGTCCAAGCCTATCTGACTTGGGGAGCGTGACTTCGCCCCTCCAGGCGCGCACGCCCTGCACTCACCACCCCCCGCCCTGAGCCTCTCTGCCCCTCTGTCCCCCCTCGTCACCTCCGTACTTCTCAGAGTCCAAGAGTTATTTTTGTCCCTTGGCCCGTCTCTCTGGTTATTTATATTCCACACATGAGTGAAATCATCCGGTAATTGTCTTTCCCTTTCTGACTTATTTCTCAGTGGCTTGATTTAAGGCAAATCCCAGACACATTTCATTTTATCCTTAAATATTTATGTCTCCCTGAGATAGAGATTCTTCAAAAAAAAAAAAAAAAACAGTCACCATAGCATCATCAAATGTGCAAAAACCAGCAGCGTCAGTTTTTTATCACTCAGTATCCCAGGAGTGTTCCTTCTCCCGGGTCCTCTCCTAAATGCCTTTTTCTCCCTTTGGGTTATTTGCATCCGATCCAAACTAGCTGTGCCCCCGTGCCCACGGCGTTTGGTTGACAAGTCTCTTCAGGATCTCAAACTGCCCAGTTTTCCTTGCCACTCGCTTATTGAAATGGCCGAGTGGTTCGGCCTGTAGGATTCCTGCCTGGGCATTCTTGTCGCGGTGCTGAGCATTTTCCCTCATCGCCTGTATTGTTCTGTAAACTGGTCAGGGTTCAACCTAGAAACTGGATCCAAGGCAGGTGTAATCCTTCTGGCAAACTGATTTGGTAGTGGCCTTACTTCCCTTGGCCCCTCCGTGCCCAGGGTCTTCTTCTAAGTATAAGAAAGTCTGTTTTCTAGAAGCCAGCGGACGCCTTTCCTGTGGCTGACTTTTCCCGGGGTTTGGACGCAGTGGTGAGGAAGCAGGCTTCCCTCTCCTGTCCACATTAGACTGTGCCCTGTTCCTGCAGGGCCGGCGCCCAGGGACCCAGTGTCTCAGAGTTTCCTTTTGCACTTTTCTATTTTGGTTTCTACGTGCTGCTCCTTCTGGAACAAAATTTGGCCTCAGTTTTGTGTCCACAAACACCTAGATAGAAATCTGGATCACTGGAGGCCCTCGCAGACAGAGCGCACCGCGACCCGAGACTGACAGCCTGTGAGCCAAGAAACACTTGTGTCATTAAGCAAACTGGCATCTTGACTTTCTCAGGAATAAGGCAACTTCCCCAAGGGCGCTGGGACTTGTGACTGGTCAGAATGTGTCCCCCAGATCCTGGAGCCTTGGAAGATCTGGTGACCAGCTTCTCCGGGGATGGAGAGCCAGATGGACAGAGTTTACTGGCAAGGCGCAAAGAGTTACTGAGTAGAAGTCTTGCCTACCTAGGATACAACATCACACACACAAACCCAAGGGGTCTGAGCTGATCAAAAGGCATTTCCGAAGCAGGGAGGGTGCAGGCTTAATAGTACTGTTGCTGGAGCTTTGGGGAAAGGGATGACTGGAGACGAGGGGTCAGGGCACTGGGATTTGGACTCCCATTCGGGAGCCTCGCCGTCATTTGGACCCCATGTCAGGAGCCTCAGGAACGGACCTGTTTCTCAGGTCTTACCATGGGTTCCACTTCTGTGTTTGTTCCCTGTGGGGCTCAGCTTGTCTTTTCTCCGGGTGGACATTCTGAGTTCTGGCTTTGCTTATTTACTTGGCTGAGTGGCAAATTTTGGGACTCCACCAATAGCTAATGCTCATGAAATGTT